TACGCGTATGCTGGTTTTCGGACACGTACGCGTACGCACCGCATACGTGTACGTGGTGCTACCCAGAATTCGCGTTGAAGTTCGCGACGACGAGGGGAGGAGGAAGACGACAATGGAGGACCTGTCTCTTATACACATCTAGATGTGTATAAGAGACAGTGTCCACAAACTCGCCCAGATTCAGGCTTTCTATCCAATCCTCTTTGCTTGTGGGACCTCGCCCCTGGCAGGAGTCATAACATCATACCTAAACACCAAGTGCGAAAAGGGTCAGACTCCGAAAAGGCCAAAAAAAAGAAAAGAAAAGAAAAGAAGAGGCCAGTCCTAAGACATGAGAATTGCCAATCTGAAATGAAGTGCAATTTCTTTTTTTCTTTAACAAAAAAAAAAAAAAAAAAAAAAAGAGTTGTGAGTTGTGAGTTGTGTATCAATCACTGCAGGCCCAGTGCCCAAGGTAAAAAATACACCAGGGATCCAACGAATGGAGTCATCTACCCCGCAGGACTGATGGCTGCCCTGACGTTTACTATAAAGAAAAAAAGGGATCACAACCACTGCAACTCACAACTCACAACTCTTTTTATTTTTTTTAACACTATCCACAAATCTCACTTCACAGCTTACAGCATCTATGCCTGCATAAGGCTGTAATATACACAATGTACACAACGGACAATTATAGAAAAGGCTCACTGTACACTAACCTATACCTATACCTACACCCACTCAGACTTACACTTAGTACATACTGCGCCTGCGTAAGGCTATCAGATACATGGAAGGATGGAACCCAGAGCATTCCATAACCCAGTCTGTACAAGCAGATCGAACATTCATACAGCATGTCTACTTTTCAAAATATGTATAGGGACGCTGGACCCGTTTTCCAGCAGGTGATGCCCCCCACCAATAGATGGGGTCCCCCGAGACTGCTCGAGGTGTCTGCTTTTACCAGCACCCGTAGCATTAACTCGGGTCGTTAAAAAAAAAAAAAAAAAAAAAAAAAAAAAAAAAAAAGAAAGAAAGAAAAGAAAAGAAAAGAAAAGAAAGGGGGTAGTCCCTAACAGTTGTGTAATCGTCCAGTACGATTTATTTATGATCGGTTATTTTAACTTGTTAAGTTATCA